AATTTTTTCCCGATTGTAATGACACCAAAAGAAAGAAATTTGATGGAAACTGATGGAATTATGCTCTCGTGAAGTTAGCGGCCTTGGCAATATTTATGAATCGGCGATTTTGCCCACTTTGAGCCTATTTTCGACTAATTGCATTGTTCCAGTTGACCAAACTCACAGCTATTTCTTTAGAACTCCACTTTTTCTATCAATTGAGTACAAGAAACTGCCCATTTACCGATTTCATCTACCCAATAATGTGGTCAGACTTTTGCAATTTGGCCAATTTCACAAAAATTAAAAAATACAACAATTTCAAAATAGGGTCCAGAATGAACAATGCAGACATTCTTGGCTCTAAAATAACATTTTCTATGTTCATCAGTCATGTCTCCAGGCCCATCTGATATTACTCTTGCTTTCTATTCTGAATTTTTATTCAAACAAAAAATAAAAGATTTACTGTTATGCAGACCACTGCAATGTTGTAATAATTGTATAAATAATGTCAAGCCATTCATGACTGCATATTAGAATGGCTACTTGGACATTTATTGGAAAATGAAATAATTTTTTTACTTTTGAACATTGGCAAAAATCAAACATTTCCCTACTTTGAGCTCCATTTCAAGGTTCTTTAAATAGTAAAACCAACCAGTATCACCGCTATTTCTATGTTTCCCATTCTATCAAATGAGACGAAGAAAATGAGAATATAACCATAAATACTATATGAAAATAGACCACAAAGTCGGCATTTTTTATTAAAAGTAAAATGGTCGGAGTTTTTTTTTTCTCATTATGCACTGCGTGCTGCAGGATTTTTTTATATGGCGCACACTGACCACACAGACTCATTCTCTCCTATGTGGGCCTACCAGCTTTCTCCTGCTTCATTTGAAGCTGCTAGAATTTGAGTATATATACGTCAAAAATGGTGGCTCGTGAGACGTATATATATACGACTGAAACAGTCAAAGGGTTAAGACTACGAATATTTTGAGGTAAATAATAAGTGTGCTGTGTGTGTATTTTACTTGTTTATTGTTTTTTAATGCCTAAGTTCTATTGCTAACTTAATATATATTAGTGTAAACTTGTTACCTGGCATTTATATGCATTTATAAGTGGAAAAAATGGAGTTGTGCTTTCCGGCAAAGTCTGCTTTCCGGCAGTAGCCTGGAACCTAACCTGCCGTATACGTGGGGCCCTACTGTATTGATCAACCATGGTGACATCTCACATCCTTGTCTAAGGACTACTTTTACTGGGAAATAATCGCCCTCTTTTCTACATACTCGATCCTCAGCCTCACTATCCTTGTAAAAACTTTTCACTGCTTTCAATAACCTACCTTCTGTTCCATACATTTGCAACATCTGCCACATTGCCCCCCTATCCACCCTGTCATAAGCCTTTTCCAAACCCATAAATGCCACAAAAACCTCTTTACCCTTGTCTAAACACTGTTCGCCTATATGTTTCACTGTAAACACTTGGTCTACACACCGCTTACCCCTTTTTTGGCCACCCTGCTTCGGTGGGATATGGCTGGTTTGTTGAAAGAAGAAGAGCATAATTCTGCAATGTAAAGATTGATATTTGTTTTCCAAGGTAGTAAGTTGGTAGACAGCAACTGCCCGGGGAGGTACTACTGTCCTTCTAAGTGAGTGTAAAATGGAAGCCTGTAATTGTTTTACATGATAGTAGGATTGCTGGTATCTTTTTCGTCTCATAAACATGCAAGGTTTCAGGTATGTCTTGCTTGTTATATTTAGGTCACACTACACATGCATGTTTTTTTTTTTTTCTCTCAACAAGTCGGCCGTCTCCCACCGAGGCAGGGTGACCCAAAAAAGAAAGAAAATCCCCAAAAAGAAAATACTTTCATCATCATTCAACACTTTCACCACACTCACACATTATCACTGTTTTTGCAGAGGTGCTCAGAATACAACAGTTTAGAAGCATACACATATAAAGATACACAACATATCCCTCCAAACTGCCAATATCCCAAACCCCTCCTTTAAAGGGCAGGCATTGTACTTCCCATTTCCAGGACTCGAGTCCGACTATATGAAAATAACCGGTTTCCCTGAATCCCTTCACTAAATATTACCCTGCTCACACTCCAACAGATCGTCAGGTCCCAAGTACCATTCGTCTCCATTCACTCCTATCTAACACGCTCATGCACGCTTGCTGGAAGTCCAAGTCCCTTGCCCACAAAACCTCCTTTACCCCCTCTCTCCAACCCTTTCGAGGACGACCCCTACCCCGCCTTCCTTTCCCTATAGATTTATATGCTTTCCATGTCATTCTACTTTTATCTAATCTCTCTAAATGACCAAACCACCTCAACAACCCCTCTTCTGCCCTCTGACTAATACTCTTATTAACTCCACACCTTTTCCTAATTTCCACACATTGAATTTTCTGCATAATATTTACACTACACATTGCCCTTAAACAGGACATCTCCACTGCCTCCAACCGTCTCCTCGCTGCTGCATTTACCACCCAAGCTTCACACCCATATAAGAGTGTTGGTACTACTATACTTTCATACATTCCCTTCTTTGCCTCCATGGATAGCATTTTTTGACTCCACATATACCTCAATGCACCACTCACCTTTTTTCCCTCATCAATTCTATGATTAACCTCATCCTTCATAAATCCATCCGCCGACATGTCAACTCCCAAGTATCTGAAAACATTCACTTCTTCCATACTCCTCCTCCCCAATTTGATATCCAATTTTTCTTTATCTAAATCATTTGATACCCTCATCACCTTACTCTTTTCTATGTTCACTTTCAACTTTCTACCTTTACACACATTCCCAAACTCATTCACTAACCTTTGCAATTTTTCTTTAGAATCTCCCATAAGCACAGTATCATCAGCAAAAAGTAAGTGTGTCAATTCCCATTTTGAATTTGATTCCCCGAAATTTAATCCCACCCCTCTCCCGAACACCCTAGCATTTACTTCCTTTACAACCCCATCTATAAATATATTAAACAACCATGGTGACATTACACATCCCTGTCTAAGACCTACTTTTACTGGGAAGTAGTCTCCCTCTCTTCTACACACCCTAACCTGAGCCTCACTATCCTCATAAAAACTCTTTACAGCATTTAATAACTTATCACCTATTCCATATACTTGCAACATCTGCCACATTGCTCCTCTATCCACTCTATCATATGCCTTTTCTAAATCCATAAATGCATTAAAAATTTCCCTACCTTTATCTAAATACTGTTCACATATATGCTTCAATGTAAACACTTGATCTACACATCCCCTACCCACTCTGAAACCTCCTTGCTCATCTGCAATCCTACATTCTGTCTTACCTCTAATTCTTTCAATTATAACCCTACCGTACACTTTTCCTGGTATACTCAGTAAACTTATTCCTCTATAATTTTTACATTCTCTTTTGTCCCCTTTCCCTTTATATAAAGGGACTATACATGCATTCCGCCAATCCCTAGGTACCTTCCCCTCTTTCATACATTTATTAAACAAAAGTACCAACCACTCCAACACTATATCCCCCCCTGCTTTTAACATTTCTGTCATGATCCCATCAGTTCCAGCTGCTTTACCCCCTTTCATTCTACGTAATGCCTCACGTACCTCCCCCACACTTACATTCTGCTCTTCTTCACTCCTAAAAGATGGTATACCTCCCTGACCAGTGCATGAAATTACTGCCTCTTTCTTCCTTAATATTTGAAAGTTCCTCAAAATATTCTCACCATCTACCTAATACCTCCATCTCCCCATGTACAAGCATATATATACAGAACCCTCTGGGTTTTCTTCTATTTTTCTTACTAGTTCTTGTCCTTGTTTATTTCCTCTTATCTCCATGGGGAAGTGGAAGAGAATTCTTCCTCCATAAGCCATGTGTGTCATAAGAGGCGACTAAAATGCCCGGAGCAAGAGGCTAGTAATCCCCTCTGTATTTTGCTAAAGTTAAAAATAGAAACTTTTGTTTTTCTTTTTGGGCCACCCCTGCTTTGGCAGGATACAGCTGGTTTGTTGAAAGAAGATATTTTGTTTTAGCTATTGATGAAAATAAGTATTACAATATAATATTAAATGAAGAAAATGTACTGTACTTTAAAATATAAATATCTGCATGTTTTATCTGACATAACCCAACAGAAGTCTGTTAGAACCCTTCTGAAACATTTTGTGTTAGTTGTATTTTATACTTATGCCATTGTTACATCCTTGCTGTAATCTAAACCCCTTTTATGTGCAGAAATTGTTCATGCTGATTTGTTACACAAAACTATAATGTTATAATTTTTGTCTAAGAGGTATAACAGAAATGGGGTGGAAAAAAGGCTGAGGAAGGGTAAGTTGTGAAACAGGTTGTGGGTACAAAGAAAGAAGAGCAAGACTTAGTTATCTGGCTTAACAATTTTGGGTGAGTTTTAAGGGAGGGGTTTGTCAGTGATGAAAAGTCTGGCAGTATTAATTTTCATTTTAATGATTGCATGAAAAGGGCTTTTCTTGAAATGAACGACAAGATATAATCACAGAGCTGAATGAACACCCTGTAATTCATAGAAATAAACTGTGCATAAACTGTACAAAATTTTTATAAATTGTAATAAGCTAAGATGAGTAATTTCACAAATAGCCCACAAATTGGAACTGGAAACTGTACAGTGTATTTCAGTCCATTGACCAAAAGTTCATTTTGGAATTGGTTACTAATTCGTAGTTCATAGTTTGGGATTATTAAAGCTGTATCATCGATAATTTGCCTTTGATGGTTGAATAAAATCAAAAGTCATGCCAAAATATATCTTTGGCTTTAATTTTATGGAATCCTCTTTTTCACCTAGGTTGTGTCAGATAAGTTTTCAACTACTGTATATAGAAGTGGGTCACTAAGATTTAAAAGATATAGCAGAATTTTCAATGGGTCCTTGTTGAATTTGTGTGTTTATTAATTCAGGAACATGTCTTTCTAGGTGGTGGTTTCTCTCAGCAATGAGGATTGGAGGTCAACCCTGTGTTGTCATGAGGCCACTCCACTCCACCTCCTGCAGCCCACAAACCTGCGTGTTGACTTACAAAAGTGCCTTCTCAATAATGAGCCCAACCTAGCCAAAGTCAAGATAACTGTGTTCCTACCTAATGTGGTTCTCTCTGTTATTGGTTAGTTCCATGTACCTTTTATTTTAGAAAAGGCATATGATAGGGTGGATAAGGGAGCATTGTGACAGATATTGCTAGTGTGTGGAATAGGTAGTAAGTTACTAAATGCTCAGGTTAGGGTATGTAGGAGAGAAGCAGATTACTTTCCATTAAAAGTAGGTCTTAGACAGGTATGTGTAATGTCAGCATGGTTGTTTAATATATTTATAGATGGGGTTGTAAAAGAAGTAAATGGTAAGGGTGTTAGGGAGAGGGGTGGGATTAATTTATGGGGAATCAAATATAAAATGGGAGTTAACAGTTATTTTTTACTGATGATACTGTGATTTTGGTAGATTCTAAAGAGAAATTGCAAAGGTTAGTGGACGACTTTGGGGAGGGTGTGTAAAAGAAAGTTGAAAGTGAACATGGTTGAGAGTAAGGTTATGAGGGTATCAAACGAGTTAAAGATGAATTGGATATCACATTGAAGGGAGGGAGTATGGAAGAAGTGAATGTATCCAGATATTTGAGAGTAGATTTGTCAGCAGATGTGTTTATGAAGGATAAGGTTAATCATAGAATTGATGAAGGAAAAAGGCGAGTAGTGCATTGAGGTGTATGTGGAGACAAAGAACATTATCCATGAAGGCAAACAAGAGAATGTATGAGAGTATAGTGGTACCAACACTCTTAAATGGGTGTGAAGCATGGGTTGTAAGTGCTGTAGTGAATAGGATGTTGGAGGCAGTGGAGATGTTGTCTAAGGGCAATTTTTTTTTTTTTTTTAAAGCACATTGGCTGTTTCCCACCGAGGCAGGGTGACCCAAAAGAAAGAATAAACTTTCATCATTCAGCACTTTCACCATCATTCATAAGTAATCGCTGTCTTTGAAGAGGCACTCAGATACGACATTTTAGATATCCCTCCAAACTGCCAATATCCCAAACTCCTCCTTTAAAGTGCAGGCATTGTACTTCCCATTTCCAGGACTCAAGCCTGGCTATATAAAAATAACTGGTTTCCCTGAATCCCTTCACTAAATATTACCCTGCTCACACTCCAACAGCTCATCAGGTCCTAAAAACCAATCTTCTCCATTCACTCCTATCTAACATGCTCATGTACGCTTGCTGAAAGTCCAAGCCCCTCACCCATAAAACCTCCTTTACCTCCTCCCTCTAGTCTATTTTAGGATGACCCCTACCCCACTTTCCTTCTCGTACAGATTTATAAGCTCTCCAAGTCATTGTACATTGTTCTATTTTCTCTAAATGACCAAACCAACTCAACAACCCTTCTTAGCCCTATGACTAATACATTTAGTAACTCCACACCTCCTAATTTCCACACTATGAGTTCTCTTTACACCACACATTACCGTTAGACATGACATCTCGACTGCCTCCAGCTGCCTCCTTGCTGCAGTATTTGCAACCCATGTTTCATACTCATATAAGAGTGTTAGTACCATTATACTCTCTAACATTTCCTTCTTTGCCCCCATAGATAATGTCCAGTATTATGCCAAATATTATTCTTTCTGAGGTATTTAACATGTTTGTTATTTATACTGTTTATTATGTCATATTAGATCATTTGTGAGAGGCAAATAAGCCGTAGTGTTGATATTAGCGTTATAATAAAGCATATTCCCCTGCATCACGAGAGTGAGCTCATGGCAACCGACAGTGACTTCAAAGCCACCTTATCTTTTATGGACAACGTACTGTGTACGTGCTTTACACAATGAGAAGCATTTCTTTTATTTATTGGAGCCATGGCTAGGGCTAAAATTAAGTAGGTTGTAGCAATAAATAGAGGAAAAGAAATTGGAATGACTTAGGCAGCAAGTAGCACTTCCAAATAGTACCAGCAGGTTGGTGTGGCAACCCTGGAAATTTGAAATTATGCTATCCAAAGTTAGCTCCGAATAACTGATGGAACCGGATGTCTGATTGCTGGATTTGTGATGGCGGACCTGTGTTATATCTTCCATTCTTCTCTAATGATAAGAAACAATCGGTAAAAACCATAACAATCCTAGAAAATGTATGTCAATATTTTAAACCTAACAATCAGTCAGAGTTTTGATTTTCCCATGATTTACCGCATGGGCAAGTTTTTTCTTTTTATACCTTGCACACTTGCCGCTTAAACCCATTCTTTCATATCTAGGCCAAAATTTATTGCTCGGCTTACCTGAGTGAGCTGTGCTCCAGATGTAGATCTACGTGAGAGCTCCTGGCATCAGTAATGTAGATCTACAAGACTGACAGTGAAAGGGTTAGCAACAGACACCAATGTGACCAATAATGGCTTCAACCAGTAAATAAATTGTATAAGTATTTATAGCACTTAAAAATTTGTTTGCTTGTTAAGGGTAGTCTTCATTTTGTGCTTTTGCTTCTCATTGTAAGCAAGTAACTCGTGCATTTATATGACAGCCAAAATGGAAAGTGAACTTCAGTTTAAAGTGCTCTTTTAGTTTCATGAGCTCACTCTGTTAGGAAGGATAGTTCTCAGACACCAAAGATATTGATACATTAGTTTGGAGAGACATCTAAACTATCATATCTGGGTGCCTCTGCAAAGACGGTGATTATATGTGAATGATGGTGAAAGTTTTTCTTTTTTGGGTCACCCTGCCTCCATGGGAGATGTCCAATGTGTTGGGGGGAAAAAAAATATATAACCCAGAGATGTATGAAAAAAAATTAATTTTATTGACGAGATCTGAAAGTTTTGAGCTGCCATGCCAGTTTTTTCCAGGTTTAGTAATTCTAGATTATTGCAGATCAAAGGCTGTTACAACTGGCTTACATTGCCCATAGTATTCCTTTGGTCCAGAAGGAGGTGGCAGCAGAAGAGACTGAACACTTACAAAGTGTAAGTATGAATCTTGGTGCTTAAGCAAATCCTCATTAATTTTAGATATAGGATTTTGAAGTAGCTTCATTTATGAATTTTTTCAGAATTTTTCACATTGACTTAAACCTCAAAAGATTTTTACATTGGTTGCTGAATTATACAAATATATTGCATGGGGCAGAGCCTAAGTGTGATACAGTGCCATTAGGCACTGATCATGCTTAGGCTGGGGAGCTTTCTTTTTAAAAGGGGTGGGGGTGTATTGATATATTAAATGCTCCAGTTTTGTAACTGGCTACTCGACACACAATAAATATTTAAATTCTGTTGTGTCTGAGTGCCTCTGCAAAGACAGTGATTGTGTGAGTGATGGTGAAAGTGTTGAATGATGAAAGTTTTCTTCTTTTTGGGTCACCCTGCCTTGGTGGGAAATGGCCGACTTGTTAAAAAATAAAAAAAATAAAAGTATGGATGGCAGGTGTGACCCATGGTCCTGAGATTGACAGGCCCAGCACTCTACCCCTCCAGCTACAGAACTTCTAATAGGGAAGATTTGAAAACTGTGCTTCATTACTTGTTTCCATCAGAGGCAACAACTGTAACCCAACTGAACTCCTCCCCCACACTCCAGGAGATTTCGCAGTAAATCTATTCTAGATTTATTAGAAGTCTCGTAGCAGAAGCAGTAGAACATTGGGCCTGTCAGTCTTGAGATTATGGTCCTGTCCTTCTGTCCATCCTTCTGTTTTTCATCGACATCTGTTTATTATGACTTAATCTGAGTTTACATTAATAATTATAGAGCATCCAGCCACTAAAATTTTTTTTTTTTCAAAATTGTTTAGGCTATCAAATTGCCTTCTCAGTACTCTTCAACCAAGTTCAAAGGTGTGGTGTGTATGCATTAGTGTACTACACACAAGTGTTAGAAATGTCTAGCACACCTGCCGATACTATTCTAGAATCTGGTAGCAGTGCTTCATCAGCAAGTTCTGAGCCAGGAGTTTCTCCACCAGAGAACGGTGCAGTTAATGATCAGGGAACTATCACTGCACCTGATCACCTACTGCGCCGAAGTACGAACAGCAGGGACACATCTGTCAGAACTGGTAGAGGACGGGGCAGAGGACGTGGAGGAGGAAGACATCTACAGCCGTCTCACCCTCCACTAACACAGTTCCAGCGGCAGAATCTGAGGACAAATCTGCAAAACTCAGGAGGTGCAACAAATCCTAGTCCACCCTCCCAGGCACCTAGGCTGTGCTCTCGCTGTCACCGGATGGGGCACACTGCCAACAACTGCCTGCGAGATACCAGGTGTAATTACTGCTACAAGAAAGGACATAATGAGGACCAGTGTCGGAAGAAAAAGGAACTTGACAGACAGGGCCACCTGTTTAGAGACCTGTTCTCAGAACAAACCAGCAGGATCTCTGAATTGGTGAACACACTCACACGTCACCCACTTAGCTACTCCTATCCCAGCCCAGCAGGTGGGATTGCGCCTTATACAAGACCACAGACTTACATCCCTGCAGCTGCCTCAGTACCCTACCTCTCTAAAGGGCAGGCACCTTACATTCCCTACACACCCACCACCTCAAGCTGACCACTTCATCATGAGGAGCCAGTCTATCAGCATCCTGTCGGCCAACATTAGAGGTTTCATTACTAATGTTGGAGAGCTCACACATAGTTTTGTGAACACTCGACGTCCCGACATGATAGCTGTTGTTGAAACATTCTTGGATGACAGGACTCCAGAAAATTTTGCAAGAATTGCTGGCTACACCTCATGGATGAGAAGAGACAGGCAAGGGCAAGGAGGAGGTGTTGCTGTGTGCTTCTCTAAAAGTGTTCATGCCCAGCACATTGATGTTGCCACCCCTACACATCTTGAAATGATGTTCTTCAAGCTCTGTATAAACACTAGTACCTCTGTACTAGCATGTGCAATGTACAGACCTCAGTGGCAACATGCAGACCCAATCAACTTCCTAATGGAAAATATTGACTCCCTTCTGCTACAACACAACTGTCAACATATTATAATTGTTGGTGACCTCAACCAGCACCTTATACAGAGGGACTTTGATGACCACCTTGCAGTGTTTGACATGAGAAACTTTGTTGATTTCCCTACTCATATCTCTGGCTCCTCCCTTGACCCAGTAGTGAGTGATCTGGCAGAAGGCATAGTCACTTGTCAACCCCTCGGCTATGTTGGATCGTCTGACCACAAGGCTGTTTTTACGACACTTAAGATCCCAACAGAACGAGGTGAGGAGTCCACACGCACAACCTGGCTATGGGAAAGAGGTAATTGGCCAGCCCTTTGCTCTGAGCTCGCCACCACCGACTGGAATGCTCTTCTCCAAGGGGATGTTGACAACCAAGTGAAAGCCTTCACTGGACACATCCTTAATCTACAACAAGAACACATTCCTCACCGGCAATATGTGACGAAGCCTACAGATCAGCCTTGGTTTGGCTTTCGTTGTAGAGAGGCTGCTACTGCTAAGTACAAAGCATGGCGAAGGTATAAGAGACATCCTACCACCTATAACAGGAACTTGCACATGCAAGCCTGTAGGCATATGGGTGATGTTCAAAAGTGGGCCATTGCTAAATGGGAGGTGGACACTAAAAGAAAGTTAGCATTAGGTAGGGTAGGCTCCAAAACCTGGTGGTCCCTGGTCAAGGACAGGCAAGGTTATCTGCCTAATGAACTTATTCCACCTCTAAATCGACAGGATGGGACCACCTCTACTAGTAGTCAAGAGAAGGCGGACCTCTTTGCTGAACACTTTGCTACCAAAATGCAAGTTCCTGATCCAGCAAGGGACCCTCCTTGGCTAGCTGTAAGAACTCTGTCAAAACTGTCAGTGGTGACAATAAGGCAGGAGGAGGTGCATTTCCTACTTAAATCGCTTGACCAAGAAAAGGCTGTGGGCCCAGACAAGTTGAGCCCAAGATTGTTGAGAAGATGTGCAGACCAGCTAGCAGCACCTCTAACTCGCATCTTTCAGCACTGCCTAGTACAGTGTAAATGGCCCTCTCTATGGAAAGAGGCGAATGTAGTCCCTGTTCACAAAAAGAAGAGCAGAGCAGAAATCAGCAACTACAGACCAGTGTCACTCCTGTCAATCACTGGTAAGATCCTTGAGACAATAATCTCAAGACAAATGACAGAGTTTTTTGACTACCACTCACTACTTTGTGATCGTCAATATGGCTTCAGGAAAGGTTACTCTGCTGCTGATCTGTTGTTAAACCTCTCCACTAAGTGGCACCAGTCACTGGATGAATCCAAAGTCAGCTGTGTGGTAGCACTGGACATTGCTGGCGCTTTCGACCGGGTGTGGCACCAGGGCCTCTTAGCAAAACTTCAAGCACTGGGAATTGCAGGCTCTATGCTATGTCTCCTCAGTGACTACCTTCATGGTAGATCTCTAAGTGTAGTTCTCAATGGAACGGAATCAACAAGACATCCTATTGGGGCAAGTGTTCCACAAGGAAGCATGCTGGGTCCATTGTTATGGAATGTCTACTTCAACGACCTTCTTCATCTCATCCCAGAATCACATGCATATGCAGATGGCTGTACACTGACATTCACTTATCCAAGAGAAGAAATGCCAGCTGCTCTAAGCTACATCAATCACCAGCTGAGAGCTATATCAGCTTGGGGAAATAGATGGCAAGGAACATTTGCACCTGAGAAAACGCAAATGATGATCGTCTCTAGGCACCATGATGGTAATGCTGGTGCAGTAGTAAGGATGAATAGGAGGATGTTGGCACCTGGAGAAGAAGTTGATATCCTTGGGGTGAAATTTGACTCCAAACTAACCATGAAGAACCATGTTGTAAATCTTGCAAACAAGGCAGCCAGGAAGCTTACAGCACTTCGCCGTATCTCCCATCTGCTTGACAGTAAGGGTTGCAAGATCCTGTGCGAGGCACAAGTACGCTCGCACCTTGAGTATGCTCCACTTTCTTGGTTTGCCTGCCCCCCCTCTCATCTGCGACTGCTTGACAGAGTAGAGAACAGAGCAAGACGTCTCATCTCTCGCCTGGACCCATCCTGGATAGATGTGTCATTTCAGCAGAGCCTTCAACATAGGAGGGATGTGGGTGGCCTTACTGTTAGGTACAAGGCCAATATTGTCAAAATACCACACTTGGATCCACTTCGAGGACAGCGTGAAACAAGCTTTTATGCCACAAGACGGGCAGAAAGCAGCAACTTCACTCTGGCTGTACCCTTCTCCAGAACATCACTCCATCTGAGATCATACATACCGAGGATGCCTAGAGTATGGAACACATTCGTACAGCATAATGATGTCAACGAGATAGTCAGTTGATCAAATGAAAATGCTGGCCCACAGATGGCTCCAACTTCATCCTGTTTCCTACTTGTATGTCTCATAACAATAAAAATGCTTTCAAATGAGCTGATGTAGGTAACAGCTCTTAGCTTGCCAATAAAGTTAGGAATCCTTAACCTGTAAATAGCTGTCAATAAAGCTAGGGATCCTTAACCTTGTCAAACCCTGTGTAAAAAAAAAAAAAAAAAAAAAAAAAAAAAAAAATTCAGATTTTTTTTTAGTACAGTAGACCTTCGTTTAACAGTTTTGTTTGGCACGTTTTGGTTATAGCACCATTGAAGAATTGCGGCATATTTTTGTATAACACCGTGAAATTAACTTAACTCGTGCATTGCCCGCAGGATACACTCTGCTTGGCTCTGGGTTAGACCACTGAGTCATTGGGGGAGACCTACTGCCACCCTTGTCCTAGTCTTCGGTTCATACCTGTGTAGTACGTACAGTGGACCCCCGAGTTTTGGCAGCCTCGACTTTCGTGAAATTCGACCTTTGGCGAGTTTTTTTTTTTTTTTTTGAAAATTTGGCCTCAAGTTTTGTGAAAAGACTCGTGTTTTGGCGACCGTCCGGTACCCATCAGCCCATCACCGCGCACACCAAGCCAGTCTCCCACGCCATTCACGCTCAGTGTGCCATTGTTTACCAACACGTGACCATCACCCTGCGGGTTCATACAATACATTCCATAATCATTGTATTTTGTGCTTGCAACTGCTAAATAAGTTATCATGGACCCAAGAATTTCGACCTTCGGCGGGCTCTCTGGAACGGATTAATCACGAAACTCGGGGGTCCACTGTACCATCCTCTGCTAGGAGTTTAGATCTTTTAGTTGCCAGATCTTAAATCTGCCAAGCAATAATGGCACCCAGTAGGCATACAAGTGTTGCTGAAAATGGATATATTAGACAAGAAAATAGATATTAGACAAGAGATAGTCTGTGGCCATAATGAAGCATCACTTTGTGCACATAAAAAGAATGAGCTAAATATGAGTTTGTGTGATGACTGACTGACTGACTATTACTGGCTGACTTACTGACTTGACTGATTTACTGACTAACTTAGACTTTTTCATTGAAGAGGACCCTGAAACAGTGTCTAGAGCAGCTGATGCCTTACCATCAGTTGTATAATGTACTGTGGGGTAGAATAGAATAGAAATCCATTACAGAGTTTATGCACACTCCAGTACAACCATCGACTTCAGTACCAGAACCTCTGCCATCCACCTCAGCCCAGTAGGGCCACAGCATAACTCTCCACTCTCTACAATCATCCACAAACACCAGCACCCACAATTTAAGGTAAGAAATTATATTATTTCTGTTGCATTTGTAATCTTAAGCCGTAAAAACAACATAATACATCACGACAGTGAACTACAATTACATATTCACTTTTATTTTTGTAAGATCTGTTGGTCTAAAAAAAGTTTAGTTTTTTTGGGGGCATCCTGGAATGTAACCCTATTTTTCCCATAAGTTCTTCAGTTTATCCGACACAATTTTAACTAAAACGGCATTTTCAGGAATGCAACTACTGTGTTAAACGACGGTCTGCTGTATAATTAACTTCATTACCCTTTATAAATAGGTATGGTACTAGTAAATAGGAGGGTTTTACACAAATTCATTGATTTACTGTGCTGTGTATTACTGTTTAACATTACATGGTGACAAAACTAAGTACAGATTGTCATTCACAGTTACTGTACTACACTTTGCCGTAATGTTTAACGTGTCTTAATACATTTAATCTTTAACATATGCAAGGTAATGTATTTTTTTAATCCTTAAACTGTCCAAACGTAGATCTACGTTCGGAGTGCTAAGTGTATGAATGTAGTTCTACGTTTGAACATTTTAAGGGTTAAAACATACCAACTGTCTCCCTCTGATGCAGGGTTATTTGAAAAAGAAATGCTTTCATAAAGATTTATTTTACTCTTAGTAAATTATACAAGCGAAGAGGTTACTAGCCCTTGCTCCCGGCATTTTAGTCCCCTCTTACAACATGCATGGCTAATGGAGGAAGGATTTTTCTCCACTTTCCCATGCAGAAAGTAATGTATATATATAAATGTAAAATTATCACTTTTTCCAGGATATAGATGTAAACATGAATGTGATCACAGAGGATGTGGCACTAGCTCAGCTAGAGCGTGCAGAACTTAACCTTAGTGGCGAACAACAGGATACTCCTCAGTTCACCAATCTGGCTCTCATCTTCACTATCAATGGTCAGTGCCTGATGCAGCTACATACAGTACACCTGATTGTTTAGTGAAATTTTGTGTAGCAACTTGAATATTAGTTTTATGACCAGTGGTCAATGATATTTTAATTACCTTTGAGCAACTTCATCTCTTGGTAGCATTTTGAGGGATAATCTGAATTAAATGTTTTAGATTTGTGATTGATGTTTAGCAGAAAAATGAAGTCTGCTAGAAAGGTATCATACTTGGATAATATTGAGTATGTAGAGGAATATTTTTTTAACACCGGCCTTCTCCCACCAAGGTAGGGTGACCTGAAAAAGGACTTATTTCACCATTAACTCTGTCACTGTGTTGCCAGAGGCATGTCAACATTACATCTCAGATGCCCCTCCAAACTGCAGTAATCCCACCCCTCCTCCATAATGCAGGCACTGTACTTCTCACCTCCAAGTCTGGATAATGGGTTTACGCTAATCCACTTACAAATGTCCCTTGCAAACCCTAAAACATCTGTCGGGTCATAATAACATTTCCCCTCCACTCGTATTAACATGCTCCCCATGCATGTTGGTTTCAAACCCCTTGTATACAAAAAAAAATCCCACTCAAAAACCCCCCCTCCCCCACCCCAAACCTTTCTTAGGATGACCCCTCCCCCCCCCTTTCCTTCCCACTAAAAATTTTTTAAATATTTATAATTTGTCCTTTTTTGCTTCTCCTAAATGTCCAAACCCCAACCCCTCCTGCCTGGGTCCCAAGAAAATTTTGCAGAGAAAAACAAAGCTTTGGGGTCCCGGGGCGGGTGAGACTTCTCTCAAATTTGGAAAAATTTTGAAGTCCATAAAACCTTGGTAAATATTCATAAATGTTTTATTTCCTGTACGCAGAATTCCCAGAAAAACTACACTTTATACATATATTTTAAATTTTTGAAGATTTTGTTGACCGTAACTGTCAGGTCCTTAATTTTTAAACTTGTAAATTTTTTTTACCCTTTTGCACCAGTGGTAAAGGGGAGGACTCTCATTGCGGGGTCCGGGGAAAAAACCCTGGACTTTAACTAAAAAGTTTTTCTCCAGGGGGAAGTGGAACGTTTTTTTCCCCTCCAAACCCATGTGTCATAAGAGGGATTAAAATGCTGGGAACAAGGAGCTAGTAAGCCCTTCTCCTTTATACATTACTAAAGTTATGAAGATGAACTTTTTTCTTATTTGGGCCTCCCTGCCTCGGTGGGATATGGCTAGTTTGTTGAAAGAAGTCCTCTCGAAGTAAAATAAATTTTTAAAATTTAATATTTACTTAGTGAAAGGGGGTAAAGCAGCTGAAATTGATGGGATCATGGCAGAAATGTTAAAAGCATGGGGGATATAATTTTGGAGTGGTTGGTACTTTTGTTCAATAAATGTATGAAAGAAGGAAAGGTTTTTTTTTTTTTTTTTTTTTAACAATCGGCTGTCTCCCCCCCGAGGCAGGGGCCCAAAAAAGAAAAGAAAATCCCCAAAAAGAAAATACTTTTCATCTCATTCAACACTTTCCCCAACTCCACATTACACTGTTTTTGCGAGGTGCTCAAAATACAACATTTTAGAAGCATCACATAAAAAGTACACAAATATCCCTCCAAACGCCAATATCCAAACCCCTTTTAAAGTGCGGGCTTGTACTTCCTATTTCCAGGACCTACCCATATATAAAATCCCGGGTTTTTCCCTAAATTTTTTTTATTACAAAACCCGGCCGTTTCCCACCAAAGGCAGGGGGGCCCAAAAAAGAAAAACTTCACCATCATTCACTCCTCACTGTCTTGCCAGAGGGTGCTTTACACTACAGTTTTTAAACTGCACATTAACACCCCCCCTTCAAGTGCAGGCACTGTATTCCCATCCCAGGACAACCCGGCCTGCCTTTTTCCCTAACCCTTCATAAATGTTACTTTGCCACACCCAACAGCAGTCAAGTTTAAAAACCATTTGTCTCCATTCCCCCTATAAAACACGCTCACCATGCCTGCTGGAAAGTCCAAGCCCCCGCAACAAAACCCCTTTACCCCCCCCCCAACCCCCCCTAGGCGACCCTACCCCCCTTTCCCTTCCACTACAGACTGATCACCCTTTAAGTCATTCTGTTTGCTCCATTCTCTCTACATGTCCGAACCCCCTCAACAACCCTTCCTCACCCTTGGACAACAGTTTTGGGAACCCGCACCCCCTCCTAACTTCCAAACTACGAATTCTCTGCTTATATTCACCCACACATTGCCCTCAGACATGAACTCCACTGCCTCCACTTCTCCTCGCTGCAACATTCACACCCACGCTTCCACCATATAAGAGCGTTGGTAAAAAACTTCCCCTCATACATTCCCCTTTTTGCCTCCCAAAACAAAGTTCTTTGTCTCCACAACTCCTAAGTGCCCCCTCACCTTTTTCCCTATCAAATTTTTATGTTTACCCCATCTTTCAAGACCCCTCCGCTGACACGTCCACCCCAAAAATCTGAAAAACTTTACCTCCTCCATACCCTCCCTCCAACCCGATATTCAAAACTTTCATCACCCAATCTTTTTGTTTCCTCATAACCTTACTCTTTCCTGTATTCACCCTTTTAAATTTTTTTCTTTTGACACCCCCAAATTCTCCCCAATCTCGCAACTTCTCTTCAGAATCCCCAAGAGCACAGTGTCATCAGCAAAAACACTGGACAACCCCACTTTGTTGGGGATTTTTTATCTTTTAACTCCCCCCTCTTGCCAAGACCCTGCATTTACTTCTCTTACAACCCCTCTATAAAAATATTAAACAACCCCGTGACATCACACATCCTTGTCTAAAAGGCCCACTTTTACTGGGAAAAATTCCCCCTTTCCTACATACTCTAATTTAGCCCACTATCCCGAATCCCTTCACTAAAAAATTTACCCCGCTCACACTCCCAAAGGTCACGGAAAGGGGGATCGTCTCTATATTAAAGGGGAAAGGACCAAAAAGGGTTTTTAAAAATTAAGGGGAATTATTAGCTGAGCAATATTTAGAAATGATTTGGGAAATTTTCAGATAAAAATGGATTAAAAAAGGATAGGATAGGGTGGATAAGGGAGCAATGTAGAAGTTTGTAAGTGTGTGGAATAGGTAGTAAGTTTTTGAATGCGTAAAGAGTTTTTATGAGGATTTTAGGCTCATGTTAGGTTGTAGGGGAAGGGGGATTTTTTTCCAGTAAAAGTAGGTTTAGCGGGATGTGTAATGTCACCATTGGGTTTTAAACTATTTTTAGATGGGTTGTAAAAAAGTAAATCAGGGGTTTGGGAGAGGGGGGGGGATTTAAATTATGGGGGAAACAAATTAAAAGAGAATTGCTGATATACGTTTTATGGGAGATTCTAAAGAGTAGTTGCAAAGGTTATGGGGCATTTTGGGAGGGTGTTAAAAGAAAGTTGAAAGTGAACTAGAAAGAGAAGGTGATGGGGTACAAAGAATTTCGAAGGAAGAACTGGATATCAAATTGGGGAGGGGAGTATGGAAGAATTGAATGTGTTAAAATATTTGGTATTAGATTTATCAGGAGATAGGTTATGAAGAAAAAGGGTTTAAAACCATAGAAGGGATAAAGGGAAAAAAAAATGAGGGGTTTGCATTGAAGTATCTGGAAGAAAAAAAAAAGGGCTATCCAGGGAGGCAAAAAAGGGAATTTTATGAGAGTATAGTGGGTACCAACCCCTTTTTATATGTGGGGGAAGCATGGTTTTTTAAATTGTGCAGCAAAGGGAAAGGCTGGAGCCCCAGGGAGTTTGTCATGTCTATAGGAAAACGTGTGGGGGTAAATATTGTGAAAAAGATTCGTTTGTGTGTAAATTTTAAAGGGGGTGTGGAAATTTTTTTAAAAATATTATTCAGAGGGCTGAAGGGGGGGTTTTTTGAGGGGGGTTTGGGGCAATTAGAGAGGAAGAGTCAAAAGAAGGATTGGTATATAAATCTGTAGTGGAGGGGAGAGAAGGGGGACGGGTCGTTTCCCATGGGGAAAAGGGTGAAGGGGGGAAAAAATTTTTTTTTGTTAAAAAAGGGGTTGGACATGCAGCAGGCATTTTGTGAGCATGTTTCATGGGGTGAAAAGGGGGGCAATGGTTTTTTTTGGGGGTTGATGAAAAAGTTTGAGTGTGAGCAGGGGGAATATTTTGTGAAAAAGGGGTTTTAGGGAAAACCCCGGGTTTGCCGGACTGAGTCCCGGAAAGGGAGGGGGTTTCCCAAAGGGCCCGTACTTCAAAAAAGAGGGGGGTTTTTGGGGTAAATTGCTGTTTGGAATGGCATCCCAAAATGTCATAAAATGGGGCACTTGCAAAGACTGATTGTGTGTGAAAGATGGGAAAGGGGTTGAATGATGGTGAATTTTTTTTTTTTTTGTCACCCCGCCCCCATTGGGAGATGGCAGATGTGTTTTAAAAAAAAAAAAAAAGTGAAAAGTGTTTTTCTGGCTTTTTTTTTTGTCTGCAAAATTTCTTACAAGACATCAAAGCAATTTGTGTGTCATGCTTCTGATTCAATACTCTGGCATTGCTTAGGGAGGTTTGAGACAAAGAGGACAGTTTTTGATATGTTTGAGTTTGATTAAAAGATCTTTCTGCCAACACTACTGGCTGAATTGTCAACAGTATTTCAAGCCTAACTAAAAAACGAGCAAATATCTGGAAATTTTTATTTTTTTTTTTTTTTTTATTATCACCGCCGATTCCCACCAATGGCAGGGTGGCACACGAAAAGAAACGTTTTCGACATCATTACTCCACATGTCTTGCCAAAGGAATTGTTTATCACTACATTTTAACTGCAATTAAGCATCCTTTCAGAAGAGGCACTGTATTCCATTCAGGACTAAGTCCGGCCTGCTGTTTTCCTGAATCCCTTCATAAATGTTACTTCTTCAAACTACCAAAACAGTCAAGTTTAAATTACCATTTGTCTCTTCCTCCTATCAAACACGCTGAACACTGCTGAAGTTAAGTTATCTCGAAAAACTCCTTTCCACCTCCC